CAGGCTCGCAAGGTCGTGCTGTGGACCCGGTAAGGGGCCCGGTCATCGGTCATCGGGTATCGGTTGTGATTAATGTGATTAGCGCCACACGATGACATACATTGTGATTAGCGCCATACGATGACATGCGTCCCCACTGCTCCAGCTAACAGTCCCTCCTCCCCTGCTCTGTCCACACCGTTCAATATGTTCTCCGTCCCTTGCTCTTCGTACCCCATCTCTGCCGCCTTATATCTTACCGCGGCGTACTGGAGTGTTTGAGCGTCATCGTATTGAGAAGGGGCACATGAACGCGTGCTCACGCGTCGTCTATCTCTAATTGATGGGACAGGAGGGCGCACGGACGGTCGGTAGGGCGACACTGGGGCCACTGGTAAGGTATCAGCACGTGCAAGGGGCTTGGGAGGTTTGATACCTCCCTGGCCCGATATCCCAGAGGTTTACATACCTCGTTGTAGGCTACTCCGCAGATAGCAGTGAGCACGCGCCGCACAGTGCTACGGGGATTGGCACGCCCCACAGATGAGATGTTTTAGGAAGGAGATTAGGCGCGCTCAATCCTTGTCGGCCGCTCATTTCGTCGCGAGCTTGAGGGACTAGGGTAGTATGTACAGGCAAGGGAACACCCACAGCGGTGCGTCCTGCTCTCCCGCTCGAACCCTGCCAGCAACCCAGTAATGAACTCCGGTCGGTTCCTGCAAAGGGTGAGCAAAATCGGGGGGACGGTGCTCGATATTCAGAAGGCGGTCTTCCGATCGCGGTTTCTAGCAGTCGTGTATAGGCTCCCATCAAGCGCGCGGCGACATGAGCGACCGACAAGAATTGCGCACCCTTATTGTTCTTGAGCTTGACAACTGCTTTCAAAACGATAGGCCTTGGACGACTTTTTGGACACACAGCCGGACCTCGAGATGGGCGGTCTGAACCAGGGTCCAGCGGGACATCCGAAGTCCGAGTCCAAGCTGAGCTCGGCATGGCCTCATCCAGACATCGAAAGAGCGTGGCTAACGCGCTGAGTTACCTCGGAAGTTGAACTCCATGGTCCGACAGCGATTCCAGGTCTTTTCCAAACGAGAGGCCCCTGCGCGAATTTTGCGCACACTACCCTTTCTGCACTGCCACAGCGGGCGATGGGACACTGGCAAGTGCTTGAACGTGCGTACAGGTTGTAAGACTTGCTGTGATCTGCGTCGATCTGTCGGGCAGGTAGCGCTAAGTTGTTGCATGATATTACACGATCGGATGGAATCTAGAGCAGTTGTCCCAGGAAAGGTGCTCATGAGCTGGCAGCCACGGGGCATCAAAGTTCAAAAGCCGTCGGAGGTCGGACTCACTGGTAGGCGAGTAATCGATGAAGTACATAGCCAAGTGTGCTGCACCACAAGGGCTGAGTCGTCAACAAGGACGATACATCAAGAGTACATAGAAGGCCGCGGCAACTTGAAATCGTTCGCCGCGGCCCTCAGTACTAGTCCTAGTCAGTGCCCATGCATGATGAGATCGGGGTCGTGATCGATTTGATCGCTTGTGCGCGAGGAGGAGCGCCCGCCGCCCCGCACATCCAAGTTCGTGACCTTTTGCGCATCTCCTCCCTCTATCCCAGTGTTCAGCACCGCACATCGCCTACCAACGAGATTCGCAATACCGCTATCTCTTGCTGACGACATCTGGCCGACGCGGACGACTGTCTCCGCAACACGTTCTGGTGTGGATCTGCAGCGCAGTCCGTTATCGAGGCTCTGCAGACTCGATATATCTCCATTCTCTCCCAGCATCCGCCTCGAGGTGGTCCTCACGCGGAGTCTACGGGGCGAAAGAAGCAAAGAAGGCACCCTGTGCTGCAGCTGTCACCGCCCGTCGCAGAAGGGGGTCGCGCTATAGTAAGTACCCACGGGCGAGGCGGTTCATATCCCCCAGGTCCATTCTCTCCCGCTTCACCACCACGATCACAATCACAACCTCCAGCTGTGGTCCGTCGTTCGCCATTATTACGACTGCTCAGTAAACTACGCCCCCGAGATGTCCACCACGACCTTCTCCGACTGGGTGGACATGCCCGGGAGCCCCTACGCGTCCGACCAGGCTCTGCCGAGCTTGGAGGACGCGTCGGGCTCCATCGCTCGCTTTGATAGCGACATCCACGAGCTCAGCCTCGACTGGGTGAACCTCGAGAACATCACTTGCCAGCCCGATCCCTCGTTCGACTGGGACTCGCTGATTATGTTGAGCGACGCGCTCCCATTCCCCCCAACAGCACTCAGCGACACGTTCTTGAGCCAAGACGGGATCGACGAGCCCGCGTCCCCCCGCTCTGACTGGACCCTCGTGCAGTCGCCTGGGTCGAGCATGGTTCCAGATACTAAGCTACCCCCGGCCGAAGACACGCAGATCGACCACCTGTCGGCGTCTTCCCCTTCGCCCTTTGACAGTCTCGGGTTCGACTTCGGGTGCGAGCTTTTCGGGAACTTCCTCCCCCCGCAAATGTATTCTGCCCCGCCTGAGGCGGGGTGCAACGCCGTGTCCCTTGATGGTGACTTCGGCTGGCCGGTATACCCGCTCATGCAGCACTCGGTCGGTGCTGCGGGCGCTGGTGCTACAGGCCTGGCGACGGGCATGGACCTGAACGTGGACTCGGCCGCGTTCAGCTTCATGGCCCCGAACCTTCCTTCCTTTTCCTCTCCAGCATCGTCTCCGGTGGACGACAAGGACGATATCTTCGTCATGGATGAGAACCCCGCACGCGCTGTCGAGGAGAAGAAGGACGTACCCGTCGTAAAGAAGAAGCCCGCCCTCACGACGCGTATGAAGCGCCGCACCGACAGCGACGACGGCTATTCGTCGGGCGACTCCAACGCCAGCGACGCGCCTTCCCCGCGGAGGAAGCGGCGCAAGCAGGACACCACGAAGCGGTACATTTGCTCGTTCGAGGGTTGCCATCTGGGTAAGTGCGCCATATTGTCGATGACGTTGCGACTGATCGTCCCTTGCAGCATTCGCTCGCACTCATAATCTGAAACAGCACTTCGACAGCGTCCACGAGGGCAAGCGCCCATACGGCTGCCGCGAGCTTGGATGCGAGCGGTCCTTCAGCCGCAAGCATGACTTGCACCGCCATCATCAGTCCGAGCACACTGATCTGGGGTCCCCGCGCAATGTCGGCAACGCCAAGAAGGGCAAGGCCAACAAGAAGAGCAAGACAATCGCCAAGAAGGACGAGCACGACCAGTAGGCCGGGCAGGGGTGTGATTCACGGTGAGCATTTCTTTCATCGCGTCGTCCCGGCATCGCGCAACGACCTGAACCGAGTGCTGACTCGTCGTCCACAGGCTTCCGCCGGATCGCGCTCAGCAGCATTATATCATCTCTCGAATCGGCTGCCCTGCACGAGCGGTCAGCACAAGCGCTGACAGCCCGTTGTGGCAGTCGATTCTTTTTGGAGGGTTGATATATCGCTGATGACCGAGGACGGGCAGGTGCGTCTTCGTACGGGAACGGCTCCAGGGTCCAGTGCTCTGGAGGACTGTTTCCCGCGGAGAAGTATCTGCATGGGCTCTTAGAATCGGATTTTCTTGCACGTGTTTCGTGGTACAGATAGTGTTATATATGTTTCTTGCGTTCGTGTCTTGTCTGGATCTAGCTATCGTCTTCGCCGCCGCGTTCTATCTACCATGCCCCCTCCATTCCCATCTACTACGATATTGATGTCTCATGTACGATACAACGTGTTGGTTCTTGGCACCGATGATCTCGTTGGCTACGTATATACTCCTGTGCTCTACCTCGCTCTTCACGTTCGCTATCTCGTGTTCATGTACAATATTGGTCTGCCCCCAGTGTATATACAATGTGATGTTATCTGGTTTCTGTATACTCGACGGTATATCGTACGAGAGTCTGCCGATGGTTCCGGTGCCGCGGTCGGGCGCGCTCAGACGTGCTCGGCTTGGTCGGGCGCCTTCTGCCGCGACGCCAAAGCTCGAGGTCGTTTACAACGTTGACCACGAACGTCCACCTCGCGATACCCCCTGTTTGACCCCTCTCTTTGCTTGTCGGTGCATTGCCCTGGAGGCTACACTGCCCCGTACTGCCTCTTTCGGTCTCAATGGCTTCTATTGCCGGCTACCGCAGTAATGGCATCACTCTATCACACAGGCCAGTGCCTCGAGCTCTCGAGACATTTCTGCGCACCGTGCGGGACCCCCCGTTCGAGATGTTGCATCTCGATTCGCTGTTGCGATTCCGTCGTTGCAGGCCGTGCGTCTAGTCACCTACGGCGATATTGAGGACACGTGGAGGATCAGCAGAGCGTTTCGAGTTTCCCACGTCGACTCGCAGGTACAGTGTCGGTGCAGATCCCCCACGAAGAATAGTGTTCCAATGTAGGTTCGATCACTGTATGGTTTATCGTCGGTCGCCGCTGCTGGCCTCGACTTCGCCCATATGCGACTCATCGACTTCAGGCTCTAGTCCACGCCTCCTATACTCCGCAGGATTACAGAGAAGGATTCAGCATGCCGTACCCAAATTGCTACTCAACTGATTTGTTGGCGTACTAGCCTGAGAATAGTTCAAATGATGAGAAACGTCTAGACAGCACGGATATATTCGTAGTGCGCGCGCCACAGAATACAGAACCACGATACATTTGATCATTATGACGTGAAATGGTCAAACAGAGAGCTCCGAGTTTTGTACCGAATCGACGAAGGAATGCACCATACCATATGCCTAGTCTGCATCGTCAGTCAAATCGATCCAGACCACCCGTTTTTTCTTCGGAGCCAAGCCCATCTTCATCCTTTTGGCTGAGAGTTGATCTTCCTCAGTCCAGTCTTTACTTGTCCCGCCCAAGTCAGCAGGACGCTTTGCGCGCTTTCCACCCTCAAGCTGCGTCGCCGGTCCTACAGGAGACGCCGCTGATCTACTACTGGCAGGTAGCGCGGAGTGGGTCACCGTGTCCTTGTTCGCTGACATCGTCTTGACATCCTTCGCGACGTTGGCATGGGCGCGATGCTCTTCTACGTAGCGTCTGATGACTATGAAAGTAGGTGTTGGCCTGGTCAGTCGAGGCAGGGATATAACGACGGGTAGACGTACTGTTCGCGTACTTCCTGTTCATTGCGATGCCCCTCCACTCTTCTGATGTTCTTTTGTGGATGTTCTGCAGTACGAATGCAGGGAGTTGACTCAAATGGTCTAAATCAAGTTACGCATGGACACGCTCACCTCGGGACTGTTAGCAAAGTCGCGCCAGAGAGGATACTTGCGGGTATTGTTCTCCCACTTCGCGGCATGCTCGAACTTGTACAGGGCCATGGCACGGAGCTCGGCGTCCGAGACATTGTGTTTGCTCTTTCTGGCACGAGGCAGCGGCGAGAGCGTAGGGATCGGCCCGTTACGGTCAGAGTAGCTGGGGTCGGAGCGTCCATCGTCCCCGTCGTCCTCCGACTCTGATTCCAAAAACAAGGGTTCGTTAAGCGCGGCGGCTTTTGTCGGGAAAATCCCCCAATTTTCTTCTTTCTCGGCCCGCTCTTTGGCTGCAAGATATATCTGATTGGGAAGCTCGGGATGATCCTCCCAATGGCTCTTCCACATGCTAGCGGTGCGATGCGGTAACTGCGAGTAACGATGGGAATAGGTTAGGATATGGCTGAGCGTGGTGAGCTGGCGTGTAGGTATACCTCTGTTTGGAGTTCCTCGAAGAGCTCGTCCTTGTCCGGCAACGGCCCCTGGCGTAGGCGCCAACGTAGCCAGTGAACGAAGAAGACCTTCTCGTCGTCTGTAAACTTTTCATTCGGGTCGGCAGCTGAGGAGCGGAGCCGTGGCAGACGCGGTTTCTCGGAACCATCCGAAGGGGGGATGAACGTGACGTCGTGAAAGATCGGCTCTTGTCCTTCCTTCTTGGACGTCTCAGCAGAGGGAAGGCTCCGGACAGGAAGGAGTTCGTAACGCAAAGATTGATGTGCCGCTCGCTTGGGAGTGCTAAAGCCAGTTTTCGAGCGCGTAACGATGTTATGCCTAGGAATCATGTTCGACAATGCCCTCAGACTATGTTGCGACAGTGAGGACTAGTGGGCAAGGATGTTACTTACCGAGTAATATCTCCCTGGCTTTCGCGTACATCCGAGACTAACGATCCACCAGCAGATGTTGCAGGAGCAACGTCGTTCGTAGGACCTGAGGAAGTGTCTGCGTCCACTTGAGCGAAAACTTTGTCCATGTTGGCTATGAACATCCTCATCCAATCTTCAGCAGCAGTCAGCCTGTGCACTGATGCCATACGATAGGTAGCCAGCATTCACCTATTGCCGTGCGATCACTGCCCTGCAGTTATTGCGAGGATGAGTGACTGTAGCACATGTCTAGAGGACTGAGTTACATACTATGCTCAATTCGTCGAAGATTTGAAGCCTAGCCACTGAGCCATCCTGCCACCTTTTCTTGATTGCATGAACAATGGCCTGCAAATCTGCGGGGTCGAGGTCTCCCGTTTCCTCCTTCTTGACGTTCTTCAAATCCCCGAGTTGCATCTGGATTGCGTCCAGTATGTCCTGGAGCAGCTGTCCTTGGACGGGACCCGCAATCGGCGGCTGGTATTGCTGCGGTATCAGCCCCATCGCCTGGAGCTGCTGCTGGAACCATTGCTGCAGCGCGGCCTGCTGTATCCACGGCGGCAGAGCGTTTGGCAGCCCCACTGGTTGTAACGGCACCATCTGTGGGAAGTTCATGGCCAAATGCGCGGGCGGGCCTTGTGGCTGAGGACGCTGTAGGTGGAGGTGAGTCAAGAGCGCATTGAGGAGCCATTGTGCTTGGCCGTTGAAGGTGGGATTCATGATAGATGCGTGCTTTCAGTGTGGAGGTTGAAGATGAGATGGTGGATGAAGGCAGATGAGGGATGTTACTTATCTTGCCTCGTACACGTACGCCAGAAGGACTTCTCTATTCTGCCAAAATGCGTTAGTGAAGAAGACGAGAGCATATGTGGCATCATCTAGCGATATCGAGTAACATCGACAACCGAAGCTGCAGCTCTCCTCTAGATTTCTCCACCTCAAGACGGCTGTTCCCATGCGAAGCCATCGACTGAGCGGTCGTATGTCCACACGATTGAGATCTGTACCGCCGCCTGGGTCGAAATCGTATGTAGTCTATTTTGTTTCTGCCGATAGGCGACAGTGGACACGTACATCGCTTATTCGGAGCAAGGGCCGGTGCCCTTGCCCCCGCACGGCTTCGCTGCAGCAATTCAGTTGATGCATCCCGGTACAGACTTCTGGTGTTGTAGCTGCGGCTCATTGACCTAGACCCCTCTTGATCCGCGGAAGTACTGTAATATTCATGGTGTCAGTGTATGTTGAAGCAGGTATATAGACTTGCGTACTCTCTATCGCTAGCCACGATCCGTCCCGGATCGCGAAGCAGAAAGATGCATAGAACTCGTGATACTGACACATCAGCTTACTATAACGGTCTTTTCATGGAGGAGATTTTGGGAAGTGAACTGTGATTAATAAGAACATCAATCCGAGAGTAGAATTGTACGGGAGGAACTCGGAGCCTGCATGCAAATGTGGTTCAGAGCAGGTCCGACAAAACAACAAACTATTACAAAGTACCTGAGTTGAGTTGACCCGTCGTGGTCAGAGCTTGTCGATATTTTGTTAGGTCGGCTAGAATTGGGCTATATATGGTTCTGCGCGGTGAGCAGTAACCTGTAGCTACAAACCGTGCCCGTCGTCCACTAACGACGCGGGCATGCCCAGACGCTGTCATTAAGCATCACGCATTCGACACACGCGGCTCAGCATTCTTCATTTGTCGGAGCCACGTGTACAGCAGTGAGTATGGCAGGTAAGTACGTCAAGGGCAGAACAAGCAAAGTAAATGTCAGGGACGAATTTGCAGCAATCATAAAAGGTCGTAATAGGAACAGGCGTAGCTAGGTGAGGTAAGAGCGTGAACGGGGATACGACAGAGTAGAGGGGAGAGACGGGAACGACCGCCACACGAGACAATGTCCGTCGACGATCGTTGTGCATCGTGTTGGTGTGGGGACGGAAAAGAGGAGGAATCAAGGCGGGGGGGGGGGGGTAAAACAAGCAACAGTGTGAATTGTGACGTGTAACGATGACGAGAGTCATTCCATTAGATTGTAAAGACAGAAGGAAAGGTGTGGGATTGATGACATTTGATAGAGAGCGAGAGCGAGAACCAGATGCTGGACCAGTGTCGTACCCGACGCCGGATGGGCAACGGACGCGATCTATGGCGGGGAAAGGTAACGAGAATTTGTGTGCGAGACGTGGTATGTCGAGGATGGGCATTCAGTCCGGAGTCGATTTCAGGAGGTATGGCAATTGACAGCACTGGCAAGGAATAGAAACCCGAAAGAGCAGCTGAACGTTGACACTGCGGATATAGGACAGGCGACGAGCACCGAGACTTGCGAGATTACTTGGACTGAGCGGCTTGAACAAGGAGAGCCTTTTCCTTAAGCACCGACGGGTAACTGTTCATCAGGTGCGCAAGCGGACGAAGGTCGTCCTGATCCAACAGAGCGATTGTGATTTTGGGCTGCAACACGAACATTGTGAGTTCACAGGCAGTTAACGAGCAACGTCAATACAACACTTACCGCACCCTTGATACCAAAGGCCTTGACAACACGCCACCTACATACGCAGTTAGCAAAACATACGTACCACAAGAAGGACATGGCGCACAGCTTATCACCCAGCTGTTGCTTTTGCTGGTTGATCGGCTTGTCCTGCAAACTATCGATGAATTCGTCCGTCGCCTTCACAACCATCGGGTCCGCCTTGGGCAGCGGCAAGCCCGTCACCGACGACGATTGCACGAGCTTGATGATCTCGGACGCCGGCAGGCGCGCTAGCGACGCGATCGTGTGCACCTGCGAGCTCGGAGTCGCGGGTGTCGGGCTCGCTGCCGCGCTAGGCCCACGAGATGACAGATCTGGGGTGTGAGGCGAGTCGAACGACGCAGCCGACACCTTGCGCTGCTGCGGGGTCTGCGGGACGGGGACGGTCTGTACGGCAGGCGTCTGTTCCTCGGTCTCGTCAACTTCTAGGACGAGCTTCGCGTCCGCGATCTTGGCGCGGAGCACCTCTACGTTGAACAGGCACATGGCGCGCTCGCGCTTGGGCAGCGACATGAGGAGGTCGGTGAGATCTGAGACTTGGGAGGACTCGAGCTTCGAGACGGCAGCAAACATGCGATCGCGCTCAGACTGGGGCGTCGTGAGCGATCCAGACGGAGACTCGGTCCTCGGGGGTGTGGAAAGCGTCGCAGGCATGGAGAGGGGCGTAGAGGGATGATCGGGCGCGGAGGCAGTCGCGTTCGGACCAATATCGAGGAGGCGTGAGTCCTGGGAGGCAGCGGGGGACGGAGAAGGAGGCGCTGGCGACGACCCCTTCGACAGGTTCAGCGACTTCTTCGCCGCCTGCACCTGCTCGGACAGCTTCGCAGGGTCCTGGATGCCCTGTACGACCTCGCTCAGCGACAGCCCCACGATAGCCTGCACGACCGACTCGAGCTCGTCGCTGGAAACGGCATCCATGCCCTTGATCTGCCGCTGGAGCTCGCCAGAGAGCACCTCTTTCCGGACGACCGGAGATAGCGCAGAGAGGTCGTCATAGCGCATAGGCAGATTGAGCGTGCCGGCGAGTGCAGCCTGCAGGGCTCATTAGGCCAAGCAACGACTGGTAAACGATAGGGACACCTACGTGATAAAAGCTACCAGAGCTGCGGCGAGCCCGGTTATCTGGCCGATCATGATGTCCCATGACGGGTGACCCAAGGACAGCAGGATGGCTGCTGGGGCTAGGCCACCCAGCGTAGCTCTCGCCCGCCTCGCTTGCCGTCGGAGATGTCGCACCGCTGCTGCTCCGAGGATGCCCGTTGTGGCCGCCGAAACGCTGAGCGAGCTTCTCTTGCCGGAGCTGCTTCGGCTCGTGCAGGCGGACCACAAGCTGTTTCGTACCGAGTGTGACGCCGTTCATCGCGTTCATAGCCGCAGCAGCTAGCGAGGCAAGTCAGCGAATCACAGATACGAAACGGGGATACAACGAGATCCACCTTGGTCAGGGGTCTGGTAAGATACGAACCCGAACCCACGGCTCTCTCCTTGCTCATTACGCATCACACGGGCGCTTGGAAGGGTTAGCTCGAGCGAGAAATGTCGTCATCGGCCAACCTACCTGACAATTTGTCCAAACTGCGAGTCGTGATATGAATTAGGTCCAAGGAACGACAATCGAAGGCAATAGGTTACCTGACGGAAGTGCGAGAAAAGCCCGTTGGAGTCAATCGAGGTGTCGAGGTTCTGACGAGGCCGTTAGTGAGCTGTGGCGTCTCACAGACGGACCTGCAGACATACTTTGATGAACAGATTGCAAGGGTCAATGAGCCCAGAGTGGCTGGTGGATCCGGGACCAGAGAGCGGGGCCAACTGCACTTGCTGTCCAGGGCCATGGATAAACAGAGGTTGTTGTTGACGCGGTCCACCATAGGGTGATTGCCGAGGCGGGGAATACTACAGATGATTATCTAGCCCTATCCATGAAACGCTCTCCACTCAACGTACCTGAGCGGGGTATGGAAATACAGAGCCGGTCGGGATGAACGACGGAGCGTTCGGAGAAAACTCGCTCGCGATCGCCCCAGCACGGCGGGGTTGATATACTTGCACGACGATATTCTGGCCCTCGACCTCGGCACAATGCATCGTGTCTTCCGCCTCCCGAGCGTCTTCCTCTCTCCAGAACTCGACCACGCCGGTGTCTTTGCCAAACGGGGCTTGCGTGCGCACCGAGGCGAGAGCTCCAAACGGACGGAAAAGGTCGTAAAGTTGTGAGTCAGTGTATCCTAGAGGAAGTTGCTTCACAAGTCGTGGAGAGGCATTAGGGGGAGGAAGAGGTGTGGGTGGTGTGGTGGAAGGATACGGAGAGAGAACAAGAGGAACGTTCTGGGGTAGATTGGGGATCGGGCGGCCCTGCAGCGTCGCAAGTGCCTTCTCCGCTGTCGAGAGATATGGTCAGAATAAAGTGACGATGAGGGGGACTCGGACGTAGGGACAGATTCGCGAAGTGTGAAGCGCGACAAACCCACGAGACAGCAATCATTCCTCGACTAGCCGCGGGAGGGGCAACAAGACAAACGCTTCTGACCAGGGTAGGAGCAGCGGGATATGCTCAGACGGCTGTCTCGCAGTTGGAGAAACTCGTCCTGATGAATTTCGAAGACAGTTTGAGGAGTCGTCAACCAAGCTTCATAGAAGCATCGGATAAGGGAATGGAACAACTGTTCTCCATCCGCCACAATACCACGAAGGGCAGCGCCCCGAGTCGTTCTTTGTGGAAGGGCTGTAGAATCTCTGGGCAAGTACAACGTTTCCATTGCCGACTCCTCAGCGCCCTTTAGCGGACGTCGGCAAAGGGAAAAGTTAGGACTGTCCCGAAAAAAGACCTCCGTTTCACGCGAAGGGATTCTAAGCGTTGCCCGTCGTGTACGGAATCGCAGCCGAGCCGGTTTTCACTCTCGGACGAGAACAAGATAGGCCTAGATTGGTGGACGCCCGAAGGGGGAAACGACCGAGCAAGGCAAGTACCATTTCTCCAAACGGTGCACGGCTGAGTATGTCCCGTTCGACGATACATTGATTCGTGCATTGGGCGCGTTCACGACACTCCCGTGCTCACATCCCAACGCTCCGGAAGACCCACAAGACTGAATTGCATCGTACAGGGCCGTTTCCGAGCATTGGGGAGAGAAAATTCTAAATCAGAAATCAAAGCCGTCACTCACCCTTCTCCAGATACTTGAACTCGATCGTCCCCGACAACGGTCTGTTGGACCCATCTCGTTGTATGTTCGGCCGGAACGGCGCGCATGTCTGGAACGTGACGGCAAGATCTTCGTCTCTCACGAACGCCGGGAGGTTGGAGATGTACAGCAAAGGCTCGTGGAGATATGGATGGGGTTGGTGACGAGGTTCTGGGGGCGGGCTGCTGTACTCCGAAGCCATGATGAGGACACGAGAGCGTGGAGACAGAGAGAGCGGAGTCGATGGCCACGCGTAAGGGATGCCGTGGTGGTATGAACCGCGCCGAGGTGTCGAGCACGACGCGGGAGGAACGAGGAATGCTGCCCAGCCATCCTGCAGAAAATGATCAAGGGCGCGCTTATGTAAGCCACACCTATTGAACCCGGTAAATAGGGCGTTGCCCCGGTCCCTCAACTCTGTCGTCGACCATTGTTCCTCTTCTGCTCGACGCCGTCGCCAGTAGCGACGCAGTGCCGCTCAAAGATTAATTGTCTATTTCAAAATTCCGCATCCAATCCCCTCGTCTCACACGTCGGCCTTCAGACGAGAGGTTTTGCGTGCATCAGTCCACTCAAGCCCTTCCCATATACCTGTGACGACGACTGCTAGCTTCCTCATATTGCACGCACGGCGTGGCCCTTGGAGACTATGCAAATGATACTCTGTATGCCAATGGGGGCCGATCGTTGAGAGCGCTCAAGCAGTACGTCGTTTCTCCCATACTAAGAATGAGCGGGTCAATTTTACTTTCTATGCCTACGGCAGCTTCGTAATATGCGGGTGGCATATATGTATGCCTTGGAATCAACTACAGAATTCACAGTCCCCGATAAATTGATTAAGTCCTTGGGCTGGACGACGGACTCAGGCTCCTCCACATCCTGTTTCCCACTGTCCGCCGCGGTCACCTGCATTCATCTTCGAACGCGAGCAGGATCCTCTCAGCAATCATTGAACCAAACTCATTCCGAAAGGTGTCGCTTACTCACGCCCCCGTGACCATAATCCTCGTGCGTAGGCTGCATCCTACCCTGATTGTCCAAGGACGTTTGCAAAGGTAACTATGATCATCGTCTGTCTCCAGTCCTGCTCGACGTCTGCTAAGGAACGGGCTACCTCACACAAACTCTTGAACAACCTGAACCAGACCACGCGAATTTGTATAATCCCAGAACCTGCCTGCGTAAGCCCCCCGCATTCTTGCGCCATGTGCTCTCTTGCTCTGGGTCACGCCATCTTTCCTCGTTATCTGGAGCCGCTACTTCGTATGTTCCCCAACGTCGATGATTCCCTCATTGACTCTTGATGGTCGGCGTTTTGAGGGTTTGCTTCGCGTACTTCGAGGAGAGCAATGGAGATTCCAAGACTCTTGAGAGAAAGCTCTCCTGTTCCGGACCGGGCTCAGTACGACATCCTGTTGCAAATGTTACCATGGGACAACATGGATAACACCCGGCATGGTCTGGACTCCTCTCGGAAAGCCCTATCCCGGGGTACGAGAAATGCGCCGCTGAGCTAGACGGGCCTTCTTCATCTGACCTGCGCCACCAAGCACTTCTTTCTCTCGGGCCCCGATGTCTTATCCGCTAGTAACGGTCTACGATGTTCGACAAGACACAGCGTACTACATGCGGCAAGTCGCGAGAAGCCGGGGGTGCTAATTTACATTAGAATACAGGGGTACACAAACATGACATCGTAAATGTATGGGTTCGTATTCGTCATCACCTTTCTCAGCCTCGTCAAGGCACGTAGCGGAAGTCCGGAGCCTACCCCCACAGTGAGCCTTTACAATAGCCACCAGACGTCGATTGCAAATGCACGCACCTGGTCTGCAAGATCCGACGTGTCTACCGTCGCATTCAGGATCGGCTTCCCGTGCTCCCTGTCTCTGCGCTTGTTCTCTAGACGATAGTTGACTGTGAGGACGATAGCCACGATAGCGGCGAGGAACTCGAGCGCGCAGGTGACTGCGAAGCCCTTGCTACAAACACATCGGACCCGTCAGCACATCCTCCTCCGTCGAGAGGGGCGCCAGAGCGAAGCGTACATATAGCGCGGCCCTTCGGTCGAGGGGAACAGATGCGAGCCGAGCACGCTGCCGCACTGTCCGATGGCCATGTACATCGGGATCCCCGTCGCTTTCTTCGTCTCCGAGCCCAGATTGTGAGCGACTATGCAACGCAACACTCGTCAGCACGCCTTTCGCCAACAAGCGGTCCCACACCTACACCAGGCGATGATAACCCCAATCGTCGTATATGTCCCGCTGACGATGCAGAATGTCGCAAAGTACCGCGCGTGGACGTTCTCCGGAACCGCAAGCAGGATCACATAGCCTATGGCGGCGAGTGCGCTGACCCCAGCGACGAACGGCCCACGGCTCTGCAGCCGGTCCGAGATATACGAGTTCAAGCACAGGAAGATCGCCGCAACGGCGTAGGGCGGAACAGTAAGCAGCTGGGCAAGCGCGTTCGCTGTGTATATGAAGAACTAGAGTCAATGGCAGCGATGGGGGAGATTAGATAGAAGGGCGCGCACTAAATCCGAACGTCTTGATAATCGTCGGAAGGAATGCTGAGATCGACGCGAGGGCGCAGTTTGCGCCAAAGTACATCACGCCCGCAGCGTAGATCTGCAATGTCATTGTTCAGCATTAGTTCGCGAAGCCCAAAACATCCGAAAGTACAACGAACCCTCCAATCCTTGAACGCTGCCTTTATGTGGCCTGAGAAATAAATTCAAGGTCAGTGTTCTAGGAAGCGCGAAGCGTAGCGGAGCCACTCACTTTTGTTCACGACGCGGCCCGTATCCGACTTGAGACCCCGATTTGCGCGCTCCAGCGCAAGCTCGCGTTCCTTCTCGTTGAACATCGAAGTCTCCTCGGGCCGATTGGGCAAAATCAATATGGACAACAGCCCAATCAGCACCGTTGGTATGCCCTCCACGACGAACAGCAGCTTCCAGTTCGCCACGGCCGCGTGCACATGCTGGATTCCGAACGCGATGAGCCCGCCAAACGCGCCCGCGACAGCTGCAAAGCCGAACCAGTACGCCATGCGCATGCCCATCTCCTCTTTTGTGTAGAAGAACGCTGATCAGTAATTTAACGTCAGCGAGGGCTTCAAAGTTTGAGAGGCATGACGTCGCGTACACATGTAGAGGGGGATGCCGGGACCAAAGCCCGCCTCGAAGACGCCGAGGCCGACGCGCGCGACGATGAGACCGGGGAAGTTAAACGCGGTGGACTACATTCATTCTCGCTGTCAGAGAATGGCCGCTGACAAACTGCAGAGTCCGACGTACCATGAGGACGGAGCAGATACCCCAGCCAACAGCGGCACATCCTAGCCATGCGCGAGGCGGAAGGAGCTTTGAGACAATCGTCGCGGGGATTTGGCAGAGGATCTGTGAGAAGTGTGATCAGCCGACCAGTCTGGATGACTCATTGTTTGCGATATTTTCTCCAGTTTCTTGGGTGGAAGCCTCTGTCGAACAAGGGCGGACTGGACACAATAGCTCCACAGTGGGAGGCAGCTCCAACAGCAAGCAAGGGAGGGACAGAAATTTCGGTAGACATCTTACTTACATACGAGAAGAAGAATGCGGAGTTGACCCAGTCGAACAGGACTCCGGTAGGATCACCATGCAACACGTCCTGAGGTAGGCCTTGCAAACGTGCATTGCCCAAGTTTGTCCTGTCCAAGTCTACCAGACAGAACAGTATCAGAGTGCACCCGGCACCTGGGTCGAACTGGGTATACACTCACATGCAAAGAGGTACATGATGCACGCTATGGGCATGATACGGCAGTCGAGCTTTCTCACCAGCCGCCGCTCATCCTCCGCGGTAAACTTGGACTCGAAGCCGGCCTCGCGCTGCTCGACACTTGCTGCGCTTTCGTCGATGGATGCAGCCTTCTTCTCCTCGAGGGACATGTTGAATAGGACGAACGACGACCGGTCTGAGTCAAGAGGAATGAGACGGTTGGAGGGGCTGCCATTTTCCAGGCACTCTGACTAAGCTATATATACAGCGATGTACGCTTCCGAGCTTGGCAGAACGCCATTCGTGTGTGGAAGAGACAGCTGGTGGGGATAGTGGGGTCATTTGACTACCGATCCTGTCACTTGCGCTGCAAGGCGTCTATCTGGAATGCGGCTGAGTATTTCGAGTTAACGTGCAAATCCAGCAGGTAATTAGACAACACCTCGTTATTTACCAGCAGTACCATTAAGCCCACATACTTAGTATACAAGATGGTGCCATAGAGGTAGTAACAGATTCTATGGCGATCGGAGGCTAAGTGCAGTGCATGATCACGGGAAGAGGCTTACGTCAGCGAACGTTGAGTACGCGGCGTCCACCGGGAATTTCTCCGGATCACAGCCCGCCTGGTTCAAATCAATGTGTCTGCGGTCCCGACTCCTGTTGTATCCAGGTAACTTGAGTACTGAAGTGCATAGTGTACAGCGACCCATTCGGTCATTACCTACCACACGAGGGCACCACTGGCAGTTGCAAGCCCTCTTGGAAAATCCCGCTCCGCCTTTTCATCGATGTCCTCTGGAATTATGCCGGTCATGCCAGTACCGTCGTTCGAGCAGACCACCTTCCAAGCTCCTGCTGACCGCTAGGCTTCTTCCAAACGCCTGCAAGTGCCTTCCTCAAGCCACTCACAGGGCCGTTCGGAGATCGCATGCTGCTGTACGAACCCCTCGTTCTCGAGAGCGGGGATGACAAAGGTGAGTGCAGTCGCAATAAACCTCACCTCCAACTCTCGCAATGGGGTCTGGCGCAGCCATGAACCCTGCACGCGATACGGGGCACGGCGGAATTCGCTGCGTATGTGCGTGAGCGTCAGGTGTCGGATTGCTGTCAACTGAGCAAATAAAGAGTTCAAGCCATCCACGCTGTAAGAAGCCATCTAACCCCACTAGATTTTGCTCGAGCCCCAAGTCAAGGGTTACCACGAGTTCACGGGCCCGGAAGAGGCTTGCGGAGTGAGGCAAGAGCACGATGCGCTTGAGATCTGAAGTCGCCAGTGTATGGGGGAAGAGTCCCGTGAAGACGTCCGTCTTCTATAATCTATGATTGCTTGCGCCTTCTTCTTCTCCCGGAACAGCCCACTCCCATACTCTAGCTCTTGTCGCCGTCTGGCACAATATCAGAAGGAGTTACCGCGCAACTTACTGATACACTGGCGTCGCAGAACAGCATTAGACTGTCATGATTACCTTATGGAAGCGTTTGACGACCTAGTACTGATGTCAATGACCACCACGAAGCTCGGTTATCTGAGGTAAGCATTTGCGCGGAATTAACGTTCCTTCTTTCTCCGCATGTACTCCCACGCGGCTCCTATCAGTCCACTTCAGGCCCGCTCATATCCTCCGAGACGCAGCGAGGTCACACATGGGGGAGAACTTTCGCACTATGGCAGCTCAAACTCGTCAAGTGACACGGCATGAGTGCAGCGGACATCCGCTGCACTCCAAGGCTCTGACTGATATACATTGCACCTGCACTGATCATCCTTCGATCTTGTCTGACCTTGTACACAGCACACAATGTTGACCGACGAGAAAACCTCAGGTGTCGACGAGATTCAAATGGTAGTGAAGGACGAAGGGTCCATCTCCATCAATCCTCTTCATACCAATGAAGAGGAGAAACGTCTGGTCAGACGTTTGGACATGCGATTGATGCCTGTGCTATGCACTCTCTATCTCTTCGCTTGTGAGTCTGCAGTCTTATTCCTGCCTGCTTGAGAAGTATGTTCGGATGAGATGCCCTGCAGATTTGGACAGAATCAACCTGGGGAACGCTCGACTTCAAGGCCTTCCCCAGAATGTCCTCCACGGAGACCCCACCGGTGTTCTATTCGATTGGGTGAATTCCGCATTTTACTTCTCTTATGTGAGTTTCTATCTGCCGTTGAGGTCTCAGGGTGATTTGACTGAGTTTATGAATGTACAGGTTTTGTGCCCAGTGCCCGCGGCCCTTCTATCCAAACTTTGCCCGCCTCGCAGATGGTTCGGCTGCGCAGCGCTATGCTGGGGATTGTGCTCAATGCTCATGGTGGGTACCGTTGGCGGATGCTCTTCTCACGATTTAAAGCCTTACCTTCCCTTATCCAGGCGACCACATTCAACTTTCCAGGATTGCTAGTCACTCGTGTCTGCCTTGGCGTGTTTGAGGCCGCGCTATCTCCCTGCACGCCCCTCTATCTCTGTCAGTTGCCTCGCAAAAGACCCAGGTAGCGTTACCTGACTGCTAGACTGCTTGACCCCTTCATAGCTCTCTTTTACACGCGCGACGAAATTGGACTGCGGATCGCCATATATAATGGTGTCGCTGCTGTTGCGGGTGCTTTCGGCGGCCTCATCGCTTTTGGGATCCAGACTGCTAGGCTCCCGATTGCCAATTGGAAGTTGCTGTTTATTGTCGAAGGTGTCCCCTCTGTTTTGCTAGGCTTTGTGGCGCTAGCACTGCTTCCCAATAGACCAGAAGAAACTTCGATGTTCAACGCGAAGGAGCGGGAGATAGCTTTGGAAAGAGGGAGTCGACGTACAAGGACAGATGTGGGGAGGGTGCTCCAGAGGAGTACGTGTATTTCCTCTCATCGTCCACATCTTGCCTTACTGAGAAGATACTCTAGAGCACATTATTGCAGCCCTCATTGACTGGAAGGCGTGTTGTCTTTTATTACATGCAAAAATCATGCTCATTACTACCACCTCAATGTCCAGGTTTACGCGGCTGGGGTCATGTACTTCGCATCCAACACCGCGTTTGGCGCCATATCGGCGTTTTTGCCTACTATAATTACGACCTTCGGCTTCAGTGAGCCGTTCTGCCATATTTCACGATTCCTGAATTTAATGGCGACTTTTCAGCCAACGCAATAGCGCAGCTGTTGACAGTCCCTCCATACGCAGTCGCCGCGATCGTCCTCTGCTTGTTGCAATATTACTCGGACAAGCTCCGCAATCGCGGGGCATTTGCAATCGCGTCAAGCATGCTAGGGGCGGTAGGCTACGCGTACGTCGCCAACCATAGAAACTGAAACACAATAGGTCTCTGAAACGAATGTCTTACAGGTTATTGCTCGCTGTGCCTTCCAACATTCACGCTCGTTACTTCGCGACCTTCTGCGTGACCAGCGGGACATATGGGATGAACGGCGCTATCATAGCCTGGTGTATGCTTCGTGCCTGTGCCATATACATCGACAATGGCGCGAGCTCATAGACATCTCAGTTGTCGACAACCTCGGTTCAGAAACGAAGAAAGCTACTGGACTCCCGCTCCTCCAAGCAATAGGGCAGTGTGGCGCTCTGCTCGGGTCTCACATGTATCCTTTGACAGAAGGCCCACGGTACATGTAAGGAGTCCCTTTCAAGTCGCCCATCAAACACGATCCTCATCATTCTTGGATACTCATTCACAGCAAAGGCTTCGCTGTAAACTGTAGTCTTGATCTTCTGGCAGCCCTGATCGCTGCGATCCTAACGGTATGTTGGATGATTCCCGGCAGTCATCTGTACGCCCATCCTCTTCACCGACGGTGTGTATGCAGATGTGCTACCAGAGAGAAAACAGGCGTCGCGATATACAGTACGGGAAACCAGACCCCAACGCCCTCGTCGACACGAGCGAAGTTGCAGATAAGGTGCGGAACTTCCAGATGCATCAAACTTCAGCTCATGATAGTATATCTCCACCCACACAGGCCACCGACTTTCGGTATACCCCATGATGTGATTTGGCAAGGAGCTGAATTTGAGAACACTAGTTACGAAGTCCATAAGCATCGGACCTCAGGGTATGGGCTTCCTGCAAAGCGTATTCGGTTGCGGATAGATGTATGGAAGACCGGAGAATGCTCCGACCTTTTTCGGAGTCGAAAGGCACAATCATCGTCCTACGTTCGGTTGAGCAAGAGTATTACCTACACATGAACACAAGGATGTTGCCGGCCGTCGAGCAAAAGTAAAGACTGAGTTCGATTCGAGTTGAGATGCTGCCTGATACGACGCTACAAGCAAGCGAGCGAGTAGCTTTACAAAAGATGAAACACAATGGTCACATATTACACACCACATTCCCTTAATTCTGCCTTACGTTCGCCCTAGTCTCCTACTGCCATCCGAAGGGCCCACCTCCCTGCGGGGGACCGTGATGTCCATGGTGCTGATGGTGGTGCCCGTGCCCATGCACATGTGGTTGTGGGATCCCTTGCGGCGGTGGCGCGTCTGGGCTTGGCATGCCGAACCCACCTGGTGCGCCGGGCGGCGGGCCGTACTGCCCAGGATAGGCAGGCTGCCCAGTGTAGGAGGGCTGTCCGGGGTAGGTCGACTGTCCAGGATAGCCCACGCCCGGCACATCTGCACCCGGGAACGATACGGGGGGCGACGGCGACGCATAGCTCGGCGCGTACCCTCCATGCGGCTGTGGCGGAGGGGGGCCCGACGGTGCGCTATAGTCGCTATAGTTGTGGCCTTGCAGGGGAGGCGCTCCGGAAAACGATGGCATCGCAGACGGACCACCTCCATAGCCAGGAGTGGGCGCAGACGGAGCGCCGCCGCCGTAATATGAGGAAGCCTCACCTGTAGATGGCGGCGCAGATGCTGATATTGGAGGCGGGGGACCCCCCGGGTAACCTCCCGGGCCACCGCCGCCTCCTACGGCCTCTCTCCCGATACCGAGGTTGGGTCCACTGCCGAACTTCCCGAGCAGGTTCTGAGCCTGAGCCATACCGGGAATCTGAGTCACGTAACTACCAAGCTGGTGCTGCGCCTGGATCCCGGCATTTTGCGCGTAGTTGCCCTGCTGAGGGGTTGCAGAAGAACCATGGCCGCCGATACGCATGTTCTCGTGGTTTCTGACGGCCTGCTTGGTCAACCGGCGGAGCGTCTCGTGCTGCTGGCCGCCAAGGCCTTGTACCCAGCTGTGCATATAGTTCAGCATCTCGCGCTGAATTTGGGAGTTGCGGTCATGGAACTCCGGATGGAAGCTGTCCAAATGTAAGTCTGTCAGTGAGTACCAGCAGCAGTAGGGGCGCGCGGACGTACAGGCATTGAAGTATGTCCTCCGTGACGTGATGAGCATTCATAGACGTATCATCCCAGGCCCTCACCACGAGATTCACCGCATGCGTCTGATAGGACATTAGTTACAAAAGGTATCAACAGGTTAGTTATACAAACCAATATGATCTTCGCTAGATTCCCAGCAGGTTCGTTCAAGATGAGGTTCTACGAATCCGAACCAGCCTGCTCAGCCGCACCATCCAAGACCCTCATATCAGCTACGTACGAAGTGGTCCTTGCTCAGGAAGGAGTGGGTAGGGTCCGACTGAACGGAGGCACATTAGCCACGAGTCGTCTTGGTGCGCGTATAGTGACGACCGCTTACAGCTCTGGGATCATTGAACACTTCGTACTGGTCCTGGTTGTTGATAACCTCTCCCGACGCCAGCTGAAGGCCACTAGTGGCCTGCTTCATGAGCGGCTTCAAAAAAGGCTCCAGTGTAGTGAAGACGAAAACTTAATGAGAGAACATGAGCCTGACATTAGCTTCCCTTCGGGGATGGTGCATACCAGATATCGACTCCGAGATCTTTTCGATGAGGGGCCCGAGACCGGGAATCCTCTCTGCAACAACCCATTTAGCATATATCCCGTATGCTCGCCTCAGTCTACACGTTGAACGTACCAATCGTCTTCTCAATCTTCTTCATGACAGAGTCCCTGAACGTCAACACCTGCCAGATGACCGAGTGCAGCTCCTGCGGACTCATGTCCTCCGGCCTCTTACCGCCCTGCTGGTACGGCTCCGCGCGGATACGCTCGACGCCCTGCAGCTCGCGCTCCATCTCGCTGTTGTCTCCCCCAGGCAGCTTGAAGAGCACAGATCGGAGTGTATCTGCGGGGCCGTTGCCGCCACGGGCGTCGCCGCCTGCTTTCGCGCGGGCTTTGTCGAGTTCGGCGTTGAGGTCAGTGACAGACGCTTGGCTCTGTAGGGGTAGAGGCGGTCACACCTAGCACGCGAGGAGACTAGGGCATGCTTTGACATACGATGTGGTCAGTAGCCTCTGTAGAGGTTGTCTAGGGTGAGTATATACGCGATCAGGATATAAGATATCCCAGGCCTACCTCCGAGTAGACTGTGTATGAAGTCGCTCGATCCGAAGGTACCTATGTATGCGTGAATAGATGCGTCTATACAGCATGGCGGCGAGCATACCTGTGACAAGGGGAGCGACCCACTTGCCGCCAGGAGCCTGAATCTTGGCTTGGTCACCCACGTGGGTGAATATATCGTGGTGGCCCATCATCACGAGTGCGAGCTCGCAGAAATTCGAATGCGCCGGAAAGTCCTCCAGGGTATGTAGCTGTTGAGACTTATCATTTAATTTATATGGGTGGTACCACATGCAAGAACCACAAACCGCTTGGCCGAGAAGACGATAGGACTCGTAGACGTCGATCTTGTTGTTTGTCGCACGGCCTTGGCGACCGATCTGAATGCAACGCTCGAGCGTACGCCGAACGAGCCCTTTGGAGGTATCCCAAGAACCATTTTCTATGCGCACCATCAGTCAGTAAAGCGAGAATATTCGCGGGCATACGCACCGTTGGCAATATAATTCTTCATCCCAGTGCGAGGATCAATTTCAAGCTCCCTTGGCTATCAACGCCGCCTGAGCACGGCATAAGCGCAGGAGTAGTAGCAGATAGGCTTACGTCGACTGGTGGCCGCAGTTTAGGGTGGTATTGCCTAGCATTATCTGGGTACCCCTTCGGGTTGTCTATGTGTTCCGTCTGTTCGGCAATGCGTTTGCATCAGTCAGTCCGCCACAACTTTCCTTGTCGATTGACCGACCGGAAGATATACGCCGAGGCGCTCCTCGGTAACTTCGAACTCGTGTGTAGCATACCCATGTGCCTATGTGTGTCGGAGATCAAAGGCCCGAATCGACAGAATGAAGCACGGCAGGTGACTGACCATAAAGCCCAGAACCATGACGAGGTTAATGATCGTCTGAAGATCTCCGTTGGAGCTGGCACGTTTTCGGCGCAGGTTTGTATATTATGACGTACCTGAAGCTGTAACTTCTGTAGACCAGCAACATCTACCGCCTGAATGCGCGATGGGAGTTAGTCCGGGCGAAGATAGCTACGGGATCTACAGTGCTGCGAACCTGACTGTAATCTCTCAGCCAATTTCTGCAAACAAGATCGCGCGATGAGAGATCGTAGTATATCTATAGGAAGTATGTTCGTGACGCACCCAAAGTACACGCGTTTGATATCGAGTCCGCCAAACTTGGAGCCTCCCTTGCCGATCAGTGCTCCAAGAGCAAAGCCTCCGGCCTTCTTCGCGACATCTCCCAGGCTATCTTCCTGGTGCGTATAAACAACGATCAATTTAACGGCCCCCTGCTAGGGTATATTTGCCAAGGCCTGGGCCACGAAACAGAGGCTCGAAATGGAATTGAGATCGTCCGAGATCGCACTCCACTTCTTCTCGAGTGAGTGCGCAAGAGGTCCTTGCATCCGCCGCACAGCACGAATGTTGGTTTGTCATTAGCTGGTACCTAAGATCATCGGCATTCCAATTAGGTGGCTAGCTTTCCGCATACCCCACCTTTGCTCGAGATGCAGGCGATTGTATCTCGAGCGACGTGAAAATGGCCCAAGACATTTCGCCCTGGGCTCCGACAAATATACCCTATTCAAAATGTGAGATCACTCACGATATCACCATGCCGGAAAGCCCGCCCTTCCAAATATGCAAAACTTGGCGCGAAGTCCGCTTGAACCTTAATTGTTGATTGGAGGATTCGCGATGGGGACATACCTTGGGATGTTTCCTGCCCCAAACGCATAAACCCCTTCTCCAGAGATACAAAGAATAACGATAAAGAGCACCAGAAGTAATAGATACCCGCTGGAGGACATGGTGGTGGGTGGTCGGTCTGAACTAGCAAACGCCTCTGCACCGCCGAGCACTCAAGCTGAAGTGCAGTGGCTCACCGCAGCGCCATGACGTCAACAACCAATCCCCGACCGCCCAAAGGATGAATCGGCGCGAGGAATCTCTACACTCCGACGCCTGGAGGTGTGCTGCGGAGATCAAACCTTGGTGGACGGGCGCGGGGAGACGTCAGTGCGCGTCTAAGATTTTGTTGTATTGCTCATCGCACCCCCAACGCTCTCGCCTCCGTGGCCCCATCGTCCTCGTCCCATCGCGTCTTCGGCCTTCACGGTACGTTCCATCTCTGTTAGCGGCTCTGATTGTGCTAGAAATGTGCGTTTTCAGCTTCATCTGCAGTAATCACCATGACCAACAACTCGAACGTCAATCCCTCGGAAGTCGGCTGGCAATTTGTCCCTCAATACTACACCTTTGTCAACAAGCACCCCAATCGCTTGCACTGCTTCTACAATAAAGCCTCTACTTTCATTCACGGCACTGAGGGCGAGGATGGCAAGCCATGCTTTGGTCAGCAGGTGAGCTACTCAACCGATTTACTTTACGCGTTCCAGCCACCGTCACGCGAATCATACCGCAACTTGTTCCTTCTCGTACTTATTTTCTACTGGTGCGCCTAGATGGGCTAGAGCGTGCTCAGTCTCTCGACACAGTGTCTTGCCTTGTTCCGGACGAGAGATGCCGCCATTGGTCAAATGTCATGAATGTCATTAGACGCCCGTCACCTCGGTGGCGGGGGATAGCTATTGCCACGCGGCTCCCCAATCTTATATCATACGGAAGCCCGAGGCATGGACGCATTGGTGGCGGCACCCGCGTTCTACGTTTCATGCATGTCCATCACACTGTTGGGGCGATCTGGACTCATAATCTTTCACAGGAGATACACAGTAGGATCACGTCGATTGGCTTCCAAGACTGCAAAGTCTTTATCCATTCGGTTGATGCTCAGTCCTCGGCAAATGGTGGTATCATCATCCAGGTCATCGGTGAGATGTCGAACAAGGGCGAGGCTTGGAAGAAGTTTGTTCAGACTTTCTTCCTCGCTGAACAGCCCAATGGCTACTTTGTCCTAAACGACATCTTCCGCTTCTTGAAGGAGGAGTCCGTTGAGGAGGGTGAAGAGCCCGAGGGCGACGTGACTGCGGCCAACGCTCCTGAGCACGTCTCCGTGCCCCCGGCTCCCGCTTCCCCTGCACCTCCTCCTGCCCCTGCTGAGCCGGAGCCTATCCCTACTCCGACTCCTGCACCTGCAGTCGAAGAGCGCGCGCCTTCACCCGCCCCGACTCCCTCCCCTCAGCCTCAGGTCAACGGCCACGCGCCAGAGACCAAGCCTGAGCCTGCTCCCGCTCCTCGCGAACCTACACCCGCTCCTGCCCCCGAGCCTACCTCCACGGCTTCTCCTGCTCCCGTATCTCCTGCTGCCCCTCCGCCTCAGCAGCTTCCTCCACAGCCCGCCGCCGTTCCTCCACAGTCCGCTCAGCAGCAGCAGCAGCAGCAGCAGCAAGGGCCACAGCCTGCCGCAGCACCAGCGCCTGCGCCTGGTCCTGCAGCACCAACGCCGTCAGCACCCAAGTCATGGGCTTCGCTCGCAGCAACCGGTGCGAAGAGTTGGGGTTCCGCCGTTGCCAGCCAGTCTCGTGGGACTTCCGAAGCGCCCGCACCGACAAGCTCGTCGCCCGCGCCGAGCGGACCTCAGTCTCCCGCTCCTCAACGACCCATAATCCGACAAGAGCAAGGCCACCCCGCGTACATCGCCGCCCAAAACGTCCAGACGCCCCAATGTTTCGTCAAGGTACGTAAACCCGTCTTTCGTTTCTACGTTATCGACGCTCATGAAGTCCACGCGACACAGAGCGTGACTGAGAATGTCTCCGACGCGGCACTACGGCAAGTACTCACCTCGCGTTTCGGCCCCATCAAGGAGCTCGAGATTGTCCGGAACAAGGCGTGCGCGTTCCTCGAGTTCCAGTCCCTCGATGCCGCGAAGCGCGCCATCACTGCCTCTCTTCCAGCCGCGCAGGGCGGCGAGGGCGGCATCCGCATCGAGACCGACGGCGGCGCCGGCCAGGCGCGGATCATTGTCGAGACGAGGAAGGAGCGTGGCGAGCGTCCGCCACCCCGCAATCCACCCATTAACGGCGACCGCGGACGGGGCGGCTTCCGCGGACGTGGCGGGCCTGGTGGTCGAGGCCGTGGCGGGCCCCCGCCCAAGGCATAGTCCGCCTTTGGGTCTGGGTCGACGGGATTGAGGGTTTACGAGTCAGCACATGGGAGGATATCGACGCGGCGTTGCGATGGGCACGGTCGGTCGGTCGGGACACAACCAAAAGTATCGCAATCTCCTGCTGAATGGAACGATGTATTACTGCCGTCGTGGTGTTTGTTGGGAGGGACGGTCACTCGCGCTGTCTACTGAGCTGTTGTGTGTTCTGTTGTTATCGTCTGTCGATCGTTAGCTTGCTCGCTCGCACTACACTGCATCTTGACGATAATCATTGATGTTCGATCTGTTTGTCTTGCGGCCGCTCTCATGTGTCGTTTCTATGTCGTCGTCGTTGGCACTCGCCGTATTGTTGTTGCTCTTCCTCAGTCCGTCGCTCTGTGATATGCAGCAATTAGTCTTGAAAGATCCACGCCCGTGCACGGGTGAATGGGTGAAGACGTCTTGCCATTAGGGGTGGTCAGAGTGCGCGATTTTGAAGCGATTCTCCCAGCGATTCTGCGCCGATTTTGAATATCTGAGTAATGTCTAAATCGCGGCCTACTCTGGCCACCCCATACTGAAGGAAGACTCTGGGAACGATTATGGTCTCGATTCTGGGGAGGATTTTGGAGGAGGCAGAATCACGGACAGCAGAATCGCGATTCTGGAGGGCAGAAGCTCCTCCGGAGGAGCTTCTGCGATTCTGCGCGATTCTGCCAAAATCGCGATTCTGAGAACAAAATCGCGTCTAGAATCGGCCTCCAGAATCGTCCCAGAATCGCTCCAGAATCGTGCATTCTGACCACCCCTATTGTCAAGATATCCATATGGTTGCATGCTTGAACCGTTTGAGTTCCCGTGTATGCATGATTTGCTCTCATTCGCCGTTGCGACCAGGGCCTGAGGCTTCCTCAGATTCAGAGACTGAAGCCAAAGTAAGTGCCTTGATGCTAGTCAAGGGCTAGTATATACTACTATATTGTAACGTGTTGGAATTGCGTTGGTGACCGATGTTCCGTGGGCATGCAGAACGGCGTTGATTGGCTCGTATTTGGAATGGCGTGGTGTCATTGGGCGTCTGAGTGTGTTTTCGTACGATGTGCTGCGCACGTACAATTGGGCGTCAACATAAAAGTCGGCCCACGTCGCGACGTCGCTCTTATCTTCCTCCTCTTTCGTCCGCCGCCCTTTCCTTTCCTAGCCCGTTCAACCGGTTTCTAAAGCTAACCTCAACGAGATGGCGCCCTCTGCTACCGAGACAACTGCGCACGCCGACGGTCGTGTCGGTCGCCGCATCGAGAACTACACGCAGTTCTGGCAGAAGGACATTAGCAAGGAGGCTTCGCACGACACCGAGAACCGTCTCGAGAACTACGTGGACGTCATCAACGGTACGTATCGCTCTGTCCTCCTGAGTCGTAGCAATTCTTGTTTTCTGTGTTGCGTGTCGTTCCCTACGTCGTCTCCATGAGCTGGAGAGCACACCTGGGGGGAACCTGCCAGCGAACGCGCTGCGACGCGGTCACGCACGCTTCGACGCGTAGGTCGCGTGCAGGGCGTTGGAGACGTCGTAATGAAAACTTTATTCAGTGTTCGGGGACTTAGTGCGCGCCCCCAAGAGCTTCCGCTGTGTTGCTGTGCTTCCGGTAGATGTTTGCGGCGTTCTGCGAGCGGGTCAACACTTCCTCTCTATCTCCATCTACTCGGAGAGCAGGCGCCTCAGAAATTACACACTGTCGTGAATGCCCTCCTCTCTCTTCCCCCCTGTAGTTGAGAGGAGGTCGTCTGTATTAATGGCGCGAACAAGGCTCTAGAATGCTCGCCTGAGGCCTCCCAGATTGGGAGGCCCCACGAGCGTAGCGAGGGAGGGGAGGGAGCCGAATGGCAGGTCCTCTTCGCGCACCCCCTACAAAGTACTTTCCCGATGCCTAAATTGAACGGGGCCGATCTCACTCTTCGTCACTCTTCGAGTGAGCCTCCGGCGCTCCTCCCTCCCCCCTTTCCAGGGGAGAACGGGGGGATTTACAGTCTCGTGTACGTTCTCCAGCGGCTCACATGATCTTACCTACAGGCTACTACGATGGCGCCACCGGCCTCTACGAGTATGGCTGGGGCACGTCCTTCCACTTCTCGCGCTACTACAAGGGCGAGGGCTTTTACCAGGCGCTCGCTCGGCACGAGCATTACCTCGCCTTCAAGATGAACCTCAAGCCCGGCATGCGCGTCCTCGACGTCGGCTGCGGCATCGGCGGGCCCGCGCGCGAGATCGCCCAGTTTGCAGACGTCAACATCGTCGGCCTGAACAACAACGAGTTCCAGGTGGGCCGTGCGCGCATGATGACCGCGAAGGCGGGCCTGTCGGACCGCATCTCGTACACCGTCGGGGACTTCATGAAGCTGTCCGAGCAGTTCGGTGAGAACTCGTTCGACGCCGTGTACGCCATCGAGGCGACCGTGCACGCGCCGTCGTGGGAGGGCGTCTACGGCGAGATCCTGAAGGTCCTCAAGCCTGGAGGAGTTGTAAGTGGCATTCCTTCCTCTGAACGGCATCGTGTTCACCACGCTCCTGCAGTTCGGTGTGTACGAGTGGTGCATGACGGACAAGTGGAACCCGTCGATCCCCGCACACAAGGAGGTCGCGCACGGAATTGAGATCGGGAATGGCATCCCGGAGATGCGGCCGCTCGCGATGGCGCGCCAGGCGATCCTCGACGTTGGCTTCCAAATCGAGCACGAGGAGGACCTCGCGGATCGCCCGGACCCGATCCCGTGGTACTACCCGCTCGAGGGCGACATCCGCAAGGCTCAGACGCTCTGGGACATGTTCACCGTGTGGCGGATGAGCTCGAGCGGGAAGTTCGTCACCCATCACGGGCTGTGGTTCATCGAGAAGCTCGGGATCGTGCCGAAGGGCACCTGGGAGGTCGGTGAGACACTGAAGATCGCGGCGGACGCGCTCGTTAAGAGCGGGCGTGAGAAGGTGCGTGTTCCTCGTCGCTTCCGTATCTCTTTCTGGCCTCCGGCGAATACTGACGGTGCTCTCGCGGGTGCGCAGCTGTTCACACCGATGTACCTGGTCGTGTCCAGGAAGCCGCAAAACTGATCCGGTCGTTGTACGTCCGGATATGACACCATCGTTAGACTTTGCGCTATCTTAGATTGCTGTATACCCCTCATAATGGTTTCTTACGTGCGCTATTCATTCGGCCTGTTGTATGAAAGTTGATCCAGTGTGCCGGTGCCGGAGGATACGGCGCAACGAACGGACGCGAGGAACCCCCGCGCGGCTCATCGTACTGCCGTATCTGGCTTGAGGCGAGCCTGAGAGAGCGAGGTGCGCATTGGTTGCTTGAGGGCAAGGCTGGTGCTGATGCGTGGTTTCGATGGTTTCGCTTTGCAAGAATCATGTGCTTGTCTTGGGCGTGGTGACGCTTTCGGAGCCTTTGGATGTGCGTTGCTTTTCGTCGTGACATGGCCACCATCAAATTCCGAGGGCGACATTGATCGGATTCGGCCAAGCGCCTCGGAGGCGCTGTCGTCCTGGCTTAGATCAAGAGGTCCAGCGAACAGGCTCGGAATGAAAGACACGCCAGCGTTCGCGGTCCACAGGGATGCATAAGTATATATGTAACGCCGCGAGTCCCGTTCACCAGCGCTCCCGCACCATCACCCGACGATCTCTGCCAGAGGCAACCCCACACGCTTGCTGCACGCCACGACGACATTGACTGACAGAGCTTCGTCTGTAGATCCCAGAAGTCGTGCTTCGCGACATTCATCGTCCATCGATAACCGCACACGCTTCTAAGGCGGCGTTAGAGACTACATAGTCTGAGGGTACCCGCTCTCTCACCGGTCACCCGAGCAGCCGCCATGACTACGCCGATACCCTCCCCGCCGGCCCTGCCCCTCCTCGGGCACATCACCCAAATAGACAAGGAGGTCCCGCTTCGCTCGTTCGAGCTGCTCGCGGACCAGTACGGCGAGATATATCAGCTGAACCTAATCAGTGAGTGCGGGAGCCGTGCCGCCCGCCTTGCGGAGAAGTCTAACTTTGTTTGTTACGACCGGCAGCGAGACAGTCGATCATCATCTCGTCGTATGATCTGATGAACGAGGTGTCCAACGACAAGCGGTTCAGCAAGGCCGTCGTCGGAGGCCTCGTTGAGACCCGTAAGGGACTGGGTGATGGTCTCTTCACGGTACGTCCGTGGCCGTGGCTGGGTCGGCGTTCAGTTCACCGTCTGATGTTGGCCCATAGGCTTATCCCGGGGAGGAGAACTGGGGCGTTGCGCGTACGCATATGTCCTCCTAGTTCGTTTGCACGAACAGAGATCTTACGTACATGGGCCACAGACCGCCTGCTAATGCCTGCATTCAGCACGGCGAAGGTGCGCGATATGTTCGACGACATGGTCGACATCGCCGAGCAGATGGTCCAAAAATGGGAGAGGTATTTATTTGGGCTGCCCGTTCACGTCCGCGAATGGCGCTGACAGGCTACTTTGTGACAACATAGGTTTGGCCCCCTCCATGTCGTCGACGCAGTCGAGGACTTCACGCGGCTTGCATTCGACACAATTGCTCTTTGTGCGATGTCCTACCGGTATGCATATTACGCCAGGGCGGGCGTGGATTGATGGCTCATGTCTTCGTTTCCGCATACTCTGAACAGCCTCAACAACTTCTATATGGTTGGTGTTGATGACGCAGCAGCTGCCTTCGTACCACTGATAGGCTACCGCAGGAGCAATCACATCCCTTCGTGCAAGCGATGGGCGACTTCCTGCTTGAGAGCGGGCTGCGAGCGAACCGGCCTCCCATCATGAATACTCTCATGAGAGGTAGCAGCGCGAAGTTCGAGGCGGACCTCAACACGATGAACGAGCTTGTCGATGAACGTGAGCGCATCCCTTCTTGATCTTCTATGTAGACGTGGCGACATAGCTAATTCCATGTCACAGTCATCCAGTACCGCAAGTCACATCCCACGGAGAAGCAGGACCTGCTCAACATCATGTTAAACGGCGTCGATAACAAGACTGGCAAGGGTCTTTCAGATGAGAACATCCGATTCAACGTGGGTCTGATGATTGAGTTTCAGTACAGTTCTGCTGACACGGTGCTCCATGACCGCAGCTGCTTACCTTCCTCGTCGCGGGTACGTGCGCTCGAGAGATTGTTATATACCAAGTTCTGATTATAGGGTTCTCAAGGCCATGAGACGACTTCTGGTACGAATACAGGACTCCGGACGCTTCGGACCAACCGTCTGACTCTATCGTGTTAGGACTATTAACATTCACACTCTATTACCTGTGTAAGAACCCTGAGGCCATGCGTAGAGTTCGGGAGGAGGTCGACGAGGTCCTTGGCGAAGGGCCTATCCGGGTAGAAGACATAAGCAAACTGAAATACATATCCGGTATGAAATGCTCATCCCTTCTTATCGCCCGACGAGCTCACTTCGGGATAGCGTGTTTGCGAGAGACGCTTCGTCTCAGCCCTCCTGCTGCTATGCGTGCTGTGGAGGCTCTCGAAGACGCTACCCTCAGCGGGGGCAAGTACTTTATCCCTAAGGGTTCCAGGATCGGAATTCTTACGGCGAAGGCTCAGTGTGACCCCAAGGTTTGGGGAGAAGACGTCAGTATCTCTGTGATACCATCTCAGGAAATGCAGTCCTCATCGTCACCAATAGGCTCGCGAGTATAAGCCTGAGAGAATGTATGGCGAGAATTTTGAGAAGATCCCTGTAAGCCTATGCTACCGTTCAACACACTGGGCCCGATTGACGCTACCGTGTTCAGCAAAACTCTTGGCAACCCTTCGGCTATGGCATGCGCGCCTGCATTGTATGTTGTACCAAATTCGTTCTGGCATACTTCGTCATTGACGTACTACAGGGTAGACCCTTCGCATGGCAAGAAGCGCACATTGCCCTTGCCATGGTCATTCAGAAATTCGACATAGCCATGGATGATCCCTCATACACGCTCGAGATCAAGCAACAGCTCACTGTGAAGCCGAAAGGGTTCTACTGCCACGCCATACCCCGCAACCGCTCTTCCTCCCCGATCGCCGTGGCACCCACATCGACTCTTGTTGGCCTACCGCAGGTGTCGCAGGCCTCGTCGAAAGAAACTGAGCCGAAGGTCGAGCCGAAGCATAAGCTGTACGTCGCGTACGGGTCGAACACGGGCACGTCGCAGACGTTCGCTCAGAGGATCGCCAGTGAGGCGCCTCGTCGTGGTATGTGATTCCTGTCGGGATAGGCAGGCATCCCACTAATGAGAACCATAGGCTTCAAGGCCTCGCTGGGCACGCTGGACTCTATCACCGATCACGTCCCCACTGACGGCCCACTTGTCATCTGCACCGCTTCGTTCGAAGGTACGGTGTGCCCACCTAGCGTCACACTCCTCGATCTGACCACCATGCTCAGGCGAGCCCGCCGACAACGCTACACACTTCTTCGAGTGGGTCCAAAGCCTCAAGGGCAGCGAGTTCGATGGTGTCAAATACGCTGTCTTCGGCTGCGGTAATAGGGACTGGGTGCGGACTTATCAACGCATCCCGAAGGCAATCGACGCCATCCTCGAACAGCGCGGTGGCAAGCGTCTACAGGAGCGAGGAATCGGTGATGCGCAGGCAGCCGAGTTCTTCGAGGTGTTCGACGACTGGGAAGCGAAGCTTTGGAACGCTCTTGCGACTGTGCGTTCTCCAATTGTTGATATTGCTTTGTTTCGGCTGACTCTGCTTTGGCCAACTACCCCAGGAATACAACCTCCAGGTCGCTGAGGACGCGGCGCTCGTCAGCAGCATTTCCATCCAAACGATCGATGTCGGCACGACTCGGGCGTCGATTCTCCGCCAATCTGATGCCGATCTTGGTAAGGTAACCGAGAACCGCCTCTTGACCAGCCCGAATGCCCCAGCGAAGAGGCATATTGGTCGGTGCTTGACTGTTCTGTTCACGTTCCAATTCTGAGGCCACATTGTGCTGCAGAGTTCGAGTTGCCAGAGCACATGACGTACCGTGCGGGAGACTACCTAGCCATGTGAGCACCATCTACTTCTTTCAGGACTTCTTATTTATTTCATTCGCGGCTAGTCTGCCCACCAATCCACAGAGAGACGTGCACAGGGTTACGGCGAGGTTCGGCTTCTCTCCGGAGCAGCAGGTACGCAGCATAAATGTTTCTTGAAATCAATACATTGACTCACTCTCGGTTGACGGGTCGACAGATTGTCTTAGGGTCCTCTGGCCCTACTTCCCTACCGGTTGACAGGCCTGTCAGCGTTTCCGCGTTGCTTTCGGGCTATGTGGAGCTCTCCCAGCCCGCGACTACTCGCGATCTTCGGATCCTCCTATCCGTCAAGTCCTCAGACGCAACGAAAGTTGCTCTCGACAGTATTCAGGCGTCATACTCGGAGAAGGTTCTGGGCAAGCGCATCAGCGTCCTTGACATTCTTGAGGAACATCCCGACATTCAGCTACCCTTCGGCACCTATCTCGAGATGCTCCCCGCCATGCGCGTCCGACAGTACTCCATCTCCTCCTCCCCTATTCACAATCCCCAACGCCCAACGCTTACAGTCAGTGTCGTCGAGGCCCCGGCACTGTCAGGAAAGGCGGAACCTTTCTTCGGCGTCGCTTCCAACTTCCTTGCAGGGCTTCGCGCGGGTGACGTTGTTCAACTCGCCGTGCGTGCCGCGTCAGCAGCTTTCCACCCGCCCGAGGACCCCAAGATCCCTATGGTTATGTTCGCGACAGGGTCAGGCTTGTCGCCTATGCGCGGTTTCCTGCAGGAACGAGCGGTGCAGAAGCAAGCTGGTAGAGAAGTCGCGAAGTCGCTTCTGTTCTTCGGTTGCCGCTCGCCGCAGGAGGATTACCTGTATGGAGACTCAGACCTCAAGGAGTGGCAGGAGCTGGGCATCGTCGACGTCCGACCGGCATTCTCGAGGAGTCCCGAGGTTTCTCTTGGTTTCAAATATATTCAAGAGTAGGTGGCGTCTATAGCTGTGGCTCGTTTGCGAAGGGACGTGCTCATGATGTATACTTCCCAGTCGCGTTTGGCACGATCGTCTGGACGTTCGAAACTATTTCGACAACCTGGGTGCTAAGGTAGGGACCATCCGCCTCCGGGGGTGCTTAGACTGAACAATCTGCCTACAGTTCTTCACCTGTGGGTCTGGAAAGGTTGCTCAGGGGATCAAGAAGGTGCTTACGGACATTATCAAAGAGGCTCGTGTATGCACAGACGAGGACGCCGCGGCTTTATTCGAGCGCGCCATCCAGGGTCGTTATGCCACCGACGTTTTTGAGTAATGACATGTAATCTATACTCACGAAAATAATCAGGGTGACCCTGTAGGCCAACCTGCAATGGTACCGGTACTTTCGCATCTATTATACTAGGCGAGGCCTCAGACAATTTTATCCCTGAGCCTAAGGTAGCCGCGAGCTGAGGGCCAGGCTGTGATCATATTCCAACTTGTTGAGATTACTTGAGACCCAAACCCAAACCATACAACACGCCACGAGTCATCATGAGCTTGCAAGGAAGTGTGTGGGTTTGGAGCTACGCGTCAGATCAGGATTCACGTGAGTTGGTCCATAAGTAAGTATGCGTAAGATGCACCCAATCGTTCTCGAGGACGAGCGATCTACTCGCGCATTCCGCCGGTTCGTCTTCGCGGATGAATAGTTCCGCGCACCATGCATCCGGGGAGTCATCATCGCTATCTACGAGACTCCACAATCAGATGATGCGCAGGTCGAAGTGGCCCAATGTCTTATCGACATACTCGTCTCCGCCACTCGCCTTAAAACCCTCCGCATCTCGCTACATCGCAATCTCTCTTGGTACCTTGACGACCCACGCCTCATTACAGCTGTTGCACACCTTACCACGCTGGACGAGATCTGGATCACAGCACGCACTCATGTAGGGCGGAAGCTCGTAGCCCACACTAAGTCCCCCTTGCGAGTCGTCCGCATGAACGGAAACTACTGGGAAGAACCTTGGAGCCCCAAGCTGATTGACAACATCATGGACCGCTTGTCCTCCACTCTCCACACGTTGAAAGTAGACACTATTTTACTTGACATCAACTACGTCTACGATTGCCGCCAATATCACGGTGTACGCTCGTTCGCCGCCCACCAGATCTTAGACTCCCCTCGCTTGGATGTGCTCCTTCACATCTTCCCCAACTTAGACTCATCCTTGATGCTTGGATGGTATGGTGACGAGGTGGCGGAGGACGACCTCGACCGGCTTCGGCAGGAGAACCTAAGAGCTCAGGAACCAAAGTCCTGGAGATCCATCGACAAGCTGCATTGCGCGCCTTTGCTGCTGTATGCCTTGGGTCTGACATGCGATATACGGCGATTGGAACTTCGAGTGGAGTCGCGTCAGACACATTTACAGTACGCAGCGGACGCGCTTCGAGACAACATACCCCAGTACCTTGTGATGTCGCTCATCATGGACCAAAATGTCGGCATGATCAATGGATTTTTCCCGCCCGCAGGATCTCCGCGCCTCACCAAGCTGGTGCTGTTTCTGGAGTATTCTAACGCAGCTGCCGAAGAAGGCCATTTTCCCGCCCTCGAGTCTCACAACTGGAATGTTCTCATGGTGAGTGTCCCTACTACCGTACCAAATCAGAGTCATGACGCTGAGAATCTCCCGGCTCGCACGTAGGACAACGCACTATCTGCAGTCGCATCGTTTCCGTTGACCCATCTGCGGATCGTCGTCCATTGCAGAGTTGACCTCAATAGGTCTGAACGACCGGGAGCGATGGAAGCGAAGCGCATGATGTCCACTTCCCGTAAATGCGATATGCAGGGAACTGCGACAAAGATACTTCATAAGATGCCTGCTTTGAAGTAGTGTTGCCGCCAAGCTGAGCCGGCTTATCCAGCTAACTCAGCTTGCCAACTAGACGCCCAGCTTGTTGCAACAAGCCAAGCTGAGCCGGAGCGCCGAAAATCCAGTTGATGGTCAGCTCATTTCCGAGCCAGCTGTCGGGCTAGCTCAGTTAGTGACGTCATACCTACCGGATTCGGTATATCATTGGTACCGCCACAGCTCGCGAGACCAGGCTGGTGAGCCTTCGGGGACAGACTCAGCTGTGTTTACTAGATCTCATGCCTCTCCGAGTTGCAGTATTGTATCGGGAGCTATGTTATGTTCATAGGCTTTTGGAGCAATATAATGCTCTGTGGGAACTGTTGGACACCTCCCAGCCATGCCTTGAATAGCACACTGGCAGTTGCGACTTTTCTCTCCCAACTTCAACCTATACAGTAACAGGTTGCATTCTGGCTTATATACCACAGGTCAAACATCTGTGTCGAGGGTTGAACAATTTGAATAGGTGTTTCACTGGTGTAGGCAAATTACCCACTTCACTCTACATGTCTAGATCATCGTTCACTGGCACCACTGGCAGTGATCAATCTGGCACACTGGAGCATTGTTCTTTTTTGGTGTGTGGGGCTTTGCAGACATATTAAGCCGATTCTGTCCATCTTGGGGGAGAAATATTGAAGTAACAGACATTTGCTTCCATATCTCATGCATGTATATGTGTAGTACTACGGGAACTGTGACGCTCGCTTTATGGCGTTCATCGCATGCAACGTCTTGCCGTATCTGGAATGTGAGCTTGCAAGTCAAGCTGTGGCTGGGGCCTGGCCAGGGAGTTGGTGCTCAGCTGGCCGGATCTCGGCTTAGCTTGCTCTAGCTTGATGATCCAGCTCGATCCAGCGCGTCAGCTTGGCTTAGCTTAGCTGGCTTGGCGGCAACACTACCTTGAAGTACTTCTTTCTCACCAGCAGTGGCGTCGTGGCCTACCTCCCCAATAAACCGGGGGTCCGCAAGTCACGTAAAGCATGGCATCAGTCGCGAGGCTGGTGCAGACTTGGAGATGGAGAAGCTAGAGAACCCCATGAAGAGAGTGGGGTGGCACTCGAGGACACTGTCTTGGAGAGCTTACTCGCACAGGAAGATATGAGTCTATGTAGGAGAGATCAGGCGAGTGTCGTTGACCTTGATGGTTTGTCTTCGTCACTGATCCGACTTGACGCCCAGCTACAAATGCGGGACTGCTTGTAGGCGAGCTATACAACGTTTTGTGTTCCATATCTTGAGCATGCATCTGCGGGATAAAACAAATTTAAGTGATGTCCGCGGAACGTCTCGGGCTATCATGGGGTGACGGGCTTGTTCAAGAGGTTACTACTAAGCTATCTGAGGCAAGGATTCACAACAACACGTCTCACGGCCCTTCTATTCACCACTGGTATCCGAAGGCATCCTACAAACATCACCTTTCGCGCAATGAACAATTGATTAGGCCCGAACTCATTGACGGCTGAGGCTTAGCCCCCACCCACATCCCATTTGTTTCTGAGACCAGGTGATTATTGATATCGTCCTCTGGGAATAGCCCCATGTACCCTCAGTAGTGCAACACAGCTGTCACGGACGTTGGACAGACACCCCTTTTTGCCGCCCATTCCCTTCCCTCTGACGCCCACCTTCCATTTCCGGACCATTTCCTTTCCTAGCTCATCCCAGTTTGGACACTGTAGATACGTTCCCACACCCGCATGCTACGTTCCCGTGATCGCCATGCCCTTGCCTTTTCTTTCTCGCCCTTTGTTCTCCCTTTGTCATCTTCACTGCCTCGCTCTCGCGCCTTGTCCTTGGTTGCTAAGCAGCCCCTCTAGTATATAAGGACCCCCCTAGGTGCTCCCTAGTCCCCATCTCGACCTCTTGGTCATTGGGACTAGGTGAGTGACCATAGCGTTGTATCCCTCTTCGATTGCTAATGTATAACTTGGTCATTGGGACTAGTCTGTCACTGTCTGCGTGAAGACTAGCTTTCGTAGGTCTCGTGCCTTCGTGCCGACCTCCGCTCTGTCCTCGTCGAGTTTTCTATCACGTTTATCCCTCTTCCCCTCCCTTTTCCCTTTCGGCTCCTTGCCGCTCGCCTACGGGGTCGTCGCCGAACATCGATCCGAGTCTACGCGCCTAGTCGCCGCGACAACAGCTCCAAACTTGAAAACTTGTAGACAGCTACAGGCTTGG